ATTAAAACCCCCTTTCTCCCCGTTTCTTTCTATCCCAATAGATTTGAAACTGCACACCATGATGCCTGTGATTGGATGATGGTGTTAATGAAGTATCAGGTCTGTGCCAATGTTCCTCCACAAATGGTTTCGGTTTCGGAACTGTTAAAGAATAATCATGCTTCACCATGCCTAAAGTCAAATGGATTACTTCTTGTGAACTTCCAGTGGTTTGGCATGGATTGTCAAGTCGATGACATCTGTCTGGCCATCTTACAATAATGCCACCTTCATAAATAAACGCATTGCTAAGTTCAATGTTCTAATTTCAAAAGCCCATTGGAGGCTTAATGTCTCCTCTCTGAACAATGACAATTGCTTTTCGATGGATCTTCAATAATGTCATTCTTATACAAGGTTGTACTGTCAACCCTGCATTTATGACTAGCAGATTACTAGAACTCTCCTGACTTAATACCTTTTGTGTCTTTATGACTGAAAATATAAACATTAAGAGATTATAAAGATAGGTGGGAGCTTGTACATTATGTCGAATATATATGTTTTTTTATTAATCATCAGAGACGTGTTTGAATGCATTTAAAAATTAAATGGTTAAATTAATATAACTTGTGAGTACAAAGCATAAAATACAGAAACTTTGAATGGATTTTCAAAACTTCTGTTTAAATCTTTTATTTAAGCAGACATCAGATAGTTTATAGTTGGCGTATTCATACTTCAAGCCGTTGACGCTTTTAACTTTAAGACTGTGTGAAGCAATTAGATTAATCTGTCACTCACTATCCTGATTGATACCAGCACCTTTGAGGCTTTCTGCCTACTGAGCAAATGGAGGGACATATAGATATATAATCAAGTACTGTTTGTAAAAGTACAAGTTTACAAAGTGTGTGTGGTGTGTGTGAGCTGTCACAGCCTTGCCCGACGGGAATGAGGGAACTCCTGAGACCCATGTGTCTGCACGCAACATCCTATCTGCGGGTCAGTACGGGTCAGCTGTTTTAACTGCATATGTCTCTGTGTATGTGTGTGCGAATATGTGCGTTTTCAATGCACACACCATCTTGTAGTACTCGTGTACTGTACGTGTCACTATTTAGAGTACATTTAGTATCTGTTGCTGAATGATAGCCGTCTCCTGTGGGCCTTTTAATTTGTCTCATACACACACATGCACCCACGCAAACATAATGGAGTAATAAGGTTCATGTGGTACATCGCCAAAGGCTACGTTGAGGTCAGCGGTGGAGTTTATTGGGTTTCAAAGAGTATAGTGAGACTTAATCATAAATGTTGCCCAGGTAAAATCCCCACTGATGCTACAAATACGGACTCACACACATATATTACACAGGAGATAACACTGAAGTGTAACTGAGTCATCTCTGGGGAATATAGTTGTTTTTAACAAAAATATACTATATAAGACAATACAGATAACAGTTGCTGTTAGTCTTTAAAAACTATAAAATACAAAAATTTGGAAACTCGTAATGAAGTGCAAGTGAAAAGTGGATACAAATAACAGGTGTCTTGATACTTTCATTTTTTTTATTAATTATTTTTCAATAAAGGGACAAAATGGGTGTGTGAACAGGATTATGCAGACATCTGCCAGAAAACACAGACAGTGGTATTCCCAATACAACTGAATAGAGACCCCAAACAAGTACAACAGAATTTAAAGAGCTTGGTTTGTCCATTGACCATTGGACACCATTATAAAAGAAAGAAAAACAAAAAAATTTCACAACCAAAAATTCTAAATGAAATCAAAAGAAAAAAAAAAGACTCCATTCCATGTCTCTGTTTTAAACAGAGCATTTAAGTAATAATAAATAGTAACTCCCATTGTAAAAGATAAAGTTCAAGTTCAAGTTACAACAAACAGCTCTCAGAACAGGAATAGAAAAGGCTGATAACAAAATATTCCGCATTGCCATTTACAAAAAAGTCTCAACTCAAACAGGCTTCTCCACGTCCCCCTGGTCATTTTTAAATATGCTTTGCATATGAAAGTATATTTACCCAATCTAAATATAAAGCACCATTTCATATTTGGCAATGAAAAAAACTGCAAAACATTTAATTTCTTTTTAAATGTATTCTTATGTATGCTTTTTTATGTAATCCATCTACTGCATATGAAGATTTTTTTTTTTGTTTCTCCCTCTCTTCGTAATGTTGGAATGTTGTCAGGTGGGAGAGGTGAGAGAGAGACAGTAGCACACAACAGAACAGGCATCGGCTTTCATTACTGCATACAAGAATGGCAGCGGGGGGAGAGGAGAGAAGTGCGAAACAAAAACCAAAGAAGATATGTACAACCACCTCTGTGGACGGGAAACAGAGCAGCAGCCATCTGATGGCTCGCAACACCTCCCAATGCCACATACTTTAGCTGCTTTTTATGGGATTTTTTTTTGTTGTTTTAATTCTTTAAACATACAAATAATTCGCACTATATTATCCTGCCAAATTAAAAAAATATACCGTGGCAGCTTGAGATTTTTTTCCACTACCAAAAGAAGGTATGGTAAATACCTTTAGAGAGAACAAGCAACAGTTAAAAATACGAGCCTCAATATAAATACTATAGTGCCTACTCTAAGTGAACATTGAATTCAAATACAATTCTAGAAATACAGAAAAAGTAGACCATAAATGTGTTTAAGCATAGGAATTGACAGGAGTGTGCATTTTCCTATATTTTATGTTCTTTATTATATATTCATATATAATCTTAATCCTTTCCCCAATGCAAATTGTATCTCGACCTGAAGAGCAGTGAAGAGCCAAGGCAAAAGAAAAAAAGAAAAAATCTCACAGTTTTTTTTGTGTTTGTTTTTCTTTTGTTGTTGTTTGTTTTTTAAATCTTTTTTGTATCGTTTCATACATTATTTTTATTGGAGTCTTGAACACCACCAAGATGGAGAGGAAAAGAGAAATGACAACTAAACTTAAATAAAGATTCCCCCTAAAAGATAATGAAGTGTTATTTGAATTTAAGAAATGACTCTCTTCATAGCTATAATTAAAGGAGAATTCATACAAAAACTGTTTCTTGTGGAATGAACAACAACATTTGGGTTTATGTTTTTTTTAGGGCATCAGTCTTTAAATTATTCAGCTATATTTTACCAACGATGATAAAATGCAGCCCCTTAAAAATTGTGGTTATTACTGTGGCCAGCTGAAATGAGAAATTGGTTACTTTTTAAATTCGCAAGCTGGTCAGAGTGAACAATCTGCACTGGGTTAGTGCTGGGATTTAAAGAGGTAAAGATCTGATAAATGGTCAAAACAAGGCTGCAGAGGTCAAGGGTCGTGAGGCCAGCGTTGCCTTAACAGCTCGGAACAAAGGGACCCTCATCATCTGACAGCATCGGAATAAGCTTTTCCCCTTCAGCGTAAACTTGTAAACTGGGAAAATGAAAACAGTGCACTTCATGTCTTATAAATCCAGATATCTGACTCGGCCCGTGCACCGGTGTTGGTGTGGGACAATGCAAGAGAAATGCTGGTACTTTCTCTCAGGCAGGGTGACAGGAGCAATTCAATAAACAGTATGACTGAAACTCATAGAACAAAAACTCCTTTTGTGTTCAAAAGCAACGCTTAACAAAATTAACTGTGCCCTGCATTAACCTATGCATACTGATCAACATGGAAAGATGTTTTTCAAGAGCCCTAAAGTACAGATATATATATTTTTTGCTATTCTTTTTCTGCAAGTCAGCCTGTTTTTATACAAGAAATTTAAAGACATTGCCTCTGATCCCCATAATACATGCGTAGTTTCCAGTTCTGAGTAGCCTTCTGTCTGTCTAGTTTGTAGTTATTTCAATGCTTTCAAATAAAGTTAGCTTTATGCATCATTCCACACACTGACATACTGAAGCAGCGTTGAAGGTTTGTGCTAGCGCAGATATATCCCTCAAGTTAAGGATTGTACATTACCTTTACCTCCAAAGTATCTCCCAACCAGAAACAAATCTACAAATCATTCAGCTATACACAATACTGCTTGTACCATGCTTGTTATGAAATCCCCAAATTAAACATAGCCTATTCAGTACATAATAGGTAGCTAAATGAGGATTCTGATGCTTCATCGTGAGTTATCAGAGTCCATTTAAGTAGTCAGGGGCTTGATAAAAGGACTTTTCCAGGGTGTCTTTTTAGCTTCACCAAGTTGTCCCCAAACATATGCCAGTTAAGATTATGGCCAATGCAGGCTTGAGTTATCAAAGGCACTCTTTCTTACTCCACCTAATGATAGTACAAATTGAGTTCTTAGCAAACATTTGTCTTTTTTAAAGAAATTTGAAGGCTCTCATAACTTTTAGTTTTTATCATCAAGCTAATATGTTTTTTTTATTTTGTTTTTCAAACCCTGTGTGAACATGGCATCTTTTAGAAAGATCAGAATAAGTGCATTTCAGGGTTGTACGAAGAGGGTCAAGTAACAGACTGTTCACTTCCCATGTTACACAACAAAACTGTACATGATATGTGTCACAGAATGTATGCAGCATGGATGTATTTATCGTCTTTTTCGCATTTTGAAGAATAAAAGGAAAAAAATGTAACAATAGAAAAACAGTAACACATTTACTCAACAACTAACCAACCAGGGACAGGTTCTTTTCTTTTTTTTTTTCTTTTTTTTTCTTGATTAGCAAAAACATACTATGCATGCTGACTAATTCGTAAAAATGGAAAAGGAAACTCAAAAAGAAATTATACACATCATGTAAATTATTGCACAAGAGAAAGGCTCGAATTTTTGCGTCAATGCAAGAGTATTGCCCCGATACAGATCATGCATTCAATGGGTAATGGAAACGGGGTGTGCTGGTGCAGAGCACATGGTCTTACACTTCCACCCAACTGGTGAAAGTGGAGTGTGAATATTGGGGCAAATCTACACAAGGAACTGGAAATAAACAGGGGTCAGATGTAGCTGCAGGGAAAAGGTCCCATTGACTGGTCCTTTACTCAGACTTTATTTCGGTACTCAAAGGACGGTCACTGTGCCATTTTTTCATGTGTTTCTCCAAAGTGCTGTAGACACTGAAGGGCATCTGACAGATTTCACACTTGTACACGTCTTTGCCCACTTGACCGTGGGTCTTCATGTGGCGAGTAAGTTTGGAGCTTTGGGCACATGCATAATTGCACAGCTCACACTTGTATGGTCTCTCTCCTGTGTGGCTGCGCCGGTGCACTGTCAGGTTACTGCAGTTCTTGAAAACTTTGCCACAATACTCGCAAGTATCACTCCTGCGTCCATCCTTGGAGCTAGGCCGGCCATGGCCCCCAAGGTGTGGCGTGCTGCCCCCACTGCCTGTACCACTACGGCCTGACATCCCACCGTCTAGTTCCCCCGGAGGGGTTGAGAAACGCAGACTGCCGTTTTCTGAAGAATGCTCGGATGATGATGCAAAGGGCGATTGTCTAGAATCTCCAAAGCTCAGGAAAGGGTCCTTAAGTTGTCGTGAGGCAGCATAGCCAGCAAGCCACTGGGAGTAGACATTCTCAGTATTGGGGATTGTGGGGGTTGGCAGGTCAAATTCTTTCTCCAGCTTTATGCGTTTGGTAAAAGGACTTAGTGGACTGGGACTACCGAGAAGAAGTTTTTTTGATAGGCCAACAGAGGCAGATTCATTTGGAGATGCTCCTCGCCCATTGACTGCAGACACAGAACCTTCTTCCACCCGATCTGTTTCAAGCACAGAGTTTCCATCACAAATCTCATGCCTGTGGTGATGGTCACGGTTGAGATGGTGGTGCAAGTGGTTCTCCTGGACCATGACATTTCGTTTGTGCGCATTGAGAGCTTCACTGAAGTGCTGCATGCTGGCAGCCAGACCCATCCCTTGCATCACCTCAGGCAGTGAACGAGGAATGGACCCCTCCTCGAGAAGTCCTCCCAGTCGACTACCGATACCACCATTGTTTTCATGCTGCCGTGCTGCTTCAAGGTGCAGTCCAAAGTGATAGCTGTTGTTGATTCTTCTGGGTGCCCTCTCTCCATTCCGCACTTCCTCCTCTGCCTCCTCCTCCTCTTCTTCTTCTTCCTCCTCTTCTTCCTCTTCTTCTTCCTCCTCCTCTTCCTCCTCATCTTCCCCATTTTCACATAAAATATGGTCATTCTCACTTTTCAGCTTTGCCACTACAGACTTAAGGGCATTGCTTGCGCTGCCCATGTGCTCACTGGTGCCAGGCTCTGGCGATGAGGCTGTTGATAGACCATCTTCTGACTTGCCTGCATTAGGGGAGGAGGATTTGTGCATGTGTGTTTTCATGTGACGTTTAAGTTTACTTGCCTGTGTGCATGCATGATCACACAAGTGACATTTATACGGCTTCTCTCCTGTGTGGCTGCGCCGGTGTACAATCAAATTACTTTGAAACTTGAAGGCTTTGCCACAAAATTCACAACACTTTGATTTCAACTGAGAGGTGGAGGAAGGGGTTGCTCCTGTCGAGGGGAGAGGGGTTGTTGGAGTGGTCTGAGAACCCACAGGCGACTGCATGGAGCCTGGAAGAGGTGGTGGAGTGGCAAGATATGGAGGTTTGCTGCCTCCTGCACTGCCAGTACTTCCATTTCCTCCTGTTTGAAATGGCTGGAGTAAGCGTTGCATGGGACTGGGTCGGCTGGGGGACAGTGGGGGAGAGGACCCTGAGGTGTTGCCCGCCAGTTCCCGAAGCCTCCTTGAGAAGTCCATTGTCGGAGGGGGGTCCAAAGGCAGAGGAGGATTGAGGCGCAGCACCCTGTCAAAGGCACTAGGATGGTGGGCTGCCAACGCCAGTTCCTCTGGGCTCAGGTGATGAGGATCCAGGTGGTTCCTTGGAGGGGGACTGAACAGGGGTGGTGTTGGAGGGAAACGCTGATGGCCCCCACCTCCAATATGGCCGACTGTACCTCCTGCTCCAATGCTTTCCCTTCCACCTGAGCCTGATCCAGGTATGCGGAGTAGATTGAAAGGGCTTGCGTCAGGAGGCAAGTGCAGGCCGTGAAGAGGAGGCTGAGAGGGACAGTCAGCGCCACCTCCAAGGGAGGATGGCCCACCCATGCGTGGGGTGAGAGGACTGCCATGTTCACTTTCCAGGTAAATACGGAAACCGTGGGTGTTCTGAGCGTGCTGCAGCAAAAACCAGGCGCTGCCATATGACTGCTTGCATGTAGTGCAGGTATAGGTGGCTGGCTCCTCCTTACCTGTAGTGACAAACGACAAAAGAATCCAATTAGGAGAAAATATTAAACAGCATTCAGACCTTATGGTCAAACTCCTGTATACAACTGTCAATGCTAGTGTCCAGCTGGAGAGCTTGAATTCTTTTTAAAAATGTATTTCCAATCCCCCCAGAAATCAGGAGCATAAATGCTTCATTGCTGCTCAGTTAGAAACATTAACACGGTATGAAGTACATCAAGAGCGATTCTGTTCCATTCAGCTGAACCAATCTTTTATTTGAACCTTAGGCCTAACTGTTACAGCTCTTAAAAGTGGCCGGCACATGGTGTTGAGGGCTTTGCAAATACAACAGCAGCTCTTATTGAGGTCATGCCCCACATGAGTAGCATGTGAGAAGTGGTGTGTGTGTATCTCTTTCTCTTCCAGACTGCTCTGGGACATAATTTCTCCCTTTAGACTGACTGTGAGTCCTCCATTGTCAGCAGGAGAACAAAGAAGCAGGGCTATCCCAGTGGACTACCACTTCCCACTGATCTACCAACACAGAGACTCGTTGGCATACACACAAATGCAAACCCAGAGGAAAGGCAACGGAGATGAAATTTCTAAACCTTTAAATTACTGTATCTTTATTCTGTAGCAACAACATAAATACAGTAAAATCATGTTATATGTAACCAGCATGCAGAACCACTCTATACTGTATTCTCTTATCTACTGCCCACAATCCTGCCAGTGCCTATCAACCTGTATTAACATTCATGCTCTCGCTTACACTCACATAACAGGCAACCTCAGCCTCAGCCTGAGGAAGATAAAACAGTAGGAGTGTGAAAACATTTAAGCTCCAACTGCAGAGGAATAACAACCCTTTCGGTCTTCCTCACAGCTTCTTCCCATGTAGAGTTATTTTAGGACCACAACAAGAACGTTTAAAACAATAATTGCCTTTGAATGGCCTCAGAAAAGATGACCTGTGGTGGGACCCAAAATGCATGTGTAATCTCATTAGTGAGCCGAATAGACAGCCATCATCTCGTTTACAAGATTAGATGATAAACGAACCCCCGTCGCTGCAATTCAGAGGCAGCCGATGCATGTGATGAAGTGAGTGAGCAAATCAAAGAAATACAAGTCTAAAATGAAATCTTATTAAAATATTATTCAAAACCTCTCTGTGGAAAAACATTACTCTGGAATTATAATACACACATTACTGTATTGTCAGTTTTTGTATTGATTATTCAAAATGATGTAAAAAATCCTTCTCGAGTAAAAAATGTAGAGTAGATCAGGAAGGCTGACATTATTTGAAATACATTTATATTTGTGTATTTAAAATAATGACATTATTAAATCATATATACCCCTGTGTGGGTAGAAATAGTGTCATAATAATTATCCAGACTCCTTTTAAAAAAGGAGTCACATATAATAATCTGAAACATGTAATATTATTTTAGAAGTAAATGGGTGTCATTTTAGGGAGTCATAAATATTGATGCCAATTATTGCTGCGGATCATTTTGTTAAAGCTGTTTTGCTATACCGAGTCAGTAACAATAAATTTCAAAACATCTCATCAATATGTAAACAGGTTACGTGGGTTGTAAAAATACAGGCAAAAATGGGATATATCATCTGTTATTAACTGGCAGAATAAATATGAGAAATTAGTAGTGACACTAAAAGGATGTCATGGTTTACATGAATGCTGTTATACATTGGCACTCTGCAATTTGCCTCAAATAGCCAGACAGGCAGTCAAAGAGGTTAGAGTGAAAAAACAACAGAAATACCTGAAAAGAGAATGCATGTCTGTGAGCGTTAGGAGATGCAATTTTCCATGTACCTGACAGGACTTGAAAACAGTGGTCAGAATTGACAAAAGATAAGTTTTCATGCTCAAAGAAGACAATGACGCACGACAGACTATATGCACATGGGGTTCGTATCTATCTCTCCTTTCATCTTTTTAGTCTCATCTTCCTGGCCTCTCATTTCACACAAAAAAACACAGTAAAATTAACTGTTTTGCAACCAAATTAGGGATCGTTAAAATTGTCTCAAATTACCTCTAATTGTGGGCACCTGCAAAGGATCTAACCTAAGAATCTCATTTGCATCATCAGGAAGACTTAATTTATTTATTCAAATATTTATTCCCCTCAGGTTTATTTGCTCAAATCTTGGACACTGGCAGAATTGAAAACACTGTTCTTTTTTCATTTTGGTTAAATCAGGAGATAATTCCGAAATCTGCATTTGCAAATTTTTGATGATCAGATACGTGTCAAAGCATTTACTTTAATTTTGCTTTACATTAGGCAGTCGTATTTCAAAACTATTTATTTGGAATAATGGCTTTGCATATTGATAAAAAATGAAGTGAAGAAAAGTTTGGACAGCTGCCCATCTTAATTTTAGTACCCCTTCACACAGTTTTAAATGTTTTTTTAGGAAAAAGAAGCGCTTAATGTTTTCTTTATTATTCATGCATGAAAAATCTTGTACTAAAATAGTGAGGTTATCATTATGGGTTCATAAATGCTGAGTTTATTTGCTGTGTCCAGGATTTGTGTATGTCTGACACACCCAGGAAAAAGAACTTCCTGCGAGCTTGTGTGGCATTGCATCATGTTGACACCACTACAATTATATAGACTCCAGTGAGCATTTTTGTTTTCAAACAAAGGTGTGGGCAAAATATTGAGAAAAACATGTGCAAGGCAGCATGTTCTAAATCTTGAGCCAATATACTTCTTTCTGACGGAGACTTGCCTGTATGCTGATTGGAATTGTAAGGTTAATGGATTTTAGAGTAGGCGACTGCTCCACTCTGTCTCCCTGTAATATACTCCCATCAGCCACTTCATTAGGCAAACTCTCCACCACTCGAAGGTAGAAAAATGAAGTGAGCAAGTTGAACAGAGACCAAGGGATGAAGATGGATAGAGTTAGAGTTAAAGAAAGGAAGAAAAGAGGTTGAGATTAGCCTGAAAACGAGTTAAAAATATCTCCAACAATTTTTAAGTTTATGAACAGCAGGTATGTGAATGGGGACAGTGAAACGGGGAGAATAGGAAAAAGGCCAGATACGGGTGTCCAGTTCTTTACCTGGGGTAAATGTCAAACCCATGCAGCCACTAGTGAAAGTCCAGAGAACACACATATGCTCTGTTTCAGAAACACTCAACACCAGCCATGCTACAGTGACAGGCACCAACTTTAAGCCCTATTAAGCCAAGGACATTGCCTGGTCACTTATCCGGTGCTCGATGGGAGAGGGAGGCAGTAAGTCAGCTTGACTCATGTTTCACAACTTCTTTGTGTGTGTGCGAGAGAGGGAGAGAGTTTGGGTTCGCTGCAAGATCTCTTGACTCTTTCCATCCTTCTCGTAAGGGAATGCACCACTCTGACCCAATAGCTATCTAAATGGCTGGAATAAATAAAGCCGATGTACATCTCCGTAAAAGGATGGTGGTTCTTATAAAAAATGTAAAAATTTTTATGCAGTCTTGGTGACAAATTATCTCTTCCTGCTCACAGTAATTTTTTATTATGTTTCTAATGTGTCTACATGTCGAAGGTTATATATTCAAAGTTATTTTACAAAATAACAAATTATCACATAACATGTAACATAAGAGCTTGTTTTGGTCTAGCTAAATCTGTATTATTTTTATGTTCAGCTAGAGACTGCTCATGTTCACAAACGTGACAACATTTGAATTGTAAATTTGTCAGGATTCAAGCACCACAGTTTCAACTGCACAATTCTTTTTAACAAGTATACCTCGGAACGTCAGCTTGCATAGCTGTTTGTTTTTTTTGCCAGTCATTTTGTCCTGTAAATTAGCTGGATTGCTACCATAATCCCTCTCCAACCAGCTGGGGGACAAAAATGGATGCCAGATCCCAGCTGCCAGCTAGGATCATCCCGCAAGTATCTTGAATGTCTTGCATGTATTTTTTCCATCTCCGCATTCTCAGTTTGCTCTTCTTTTACTCTTCAAGAGCAATATTATCATTCCCCTCTCTGCTAGCCTTTTCCTTTATCTTCTTTTCAATTTCACCTTTTTAGCATACAGGCCTCCTAAGAATTAAACCCTCCCCATTTCTTTCTAGCCACCAGCAGTTCTCTGGCGTCCTTGGTTGGGTCTACCTTTGGGTGAGATGATAGTAATTGAGGTAATGAAACATCACTAAAACAGGATTAGGCACACAAATCTGGAGTGAGGGACAATGTCCCTTAATATAATTTAGGATTTCTATCACAGCCTTAGGCTTTCAGGATCTATACAGCATGTATTTGCATTTGGCCATAATTGCTCAGCCCTCATCACCCTTTGCTGTTCTTGAAAGAATACATGGGCACAAAAAAATAACCAGTTTCTTTTTAAATAATGACATTTACAGAGAAAATAAATATCCAGAATTGAGAAATGTACCAAAAAAGAGTAACATTTCTATGACAGATAGGCTTTTTTTATGGTATACAGAAAAGTACAAATGTAGAAATAAAAAAATATTCAAATTAAATATTCACATTTTCAAATGAAAAAAGATAATTTAAGGTTTAATTTACTTAACATGTATGTTTCTGTTATCAGAAGTTATCACAATGAGAAGTATATCCATCCATCCATTATCGTAACTGCTTATTCCCGAATGGGGTCGCAGGGAGAACTGGAGGGCCACACAGAGACACACAAGGACAAATAACCACACACACTCACATTCACTCCTAAGGGCAATTTGGAATGTCCAATCAACTTAACATGCGGGTTTTTGGACTGTGGGAGGAAGCCGGAGAACCCGGATAGAACCCGCATGTACAAAGGGAGATCATGCAAACTCCACCTGGGTCCTGGGTACCCTGGACTCAAACCAAGAACCCTCTTGCTGTGAGGCGCACCACCACACCACCGTGCCGCCCCACAAAGCAAACCATAAAAAATCATTTCTCTAAGCTTCTACAGGAGAGTTCATTCATTTGCTCCTCTTTTCCCCTCTTTCC